GAAGGGCTTTTGACTTTTTGACTTTTTTGATTTTTTTGTGAGAGAAATAATGTAATGATTATAGATTGGATGTGATGTTTTGTCTTATTAGGTTAAAAAACCTATTTTATTTTTTTTTGACTATTTTAACCAGAAAACCTGAGGCTAAAACTTCCCAAACGAGCACTTTATAAGTTTTTATGTGTAGATAGATGATTAAAAAAAATTAAATTAAACTTATATTATTTCATTACATTTGTTTTAAAACAAATAAGAAGTTTATTTTCAAAATTATTTTTACCTTCTAATTCAAAAAAAAAAAAAAAGAAAGAAAAAAAAATGATTCATCCATTAATTTAGCCCCTCAATTCTATTTTCGATGATGTATAATTACGGTGGCTAAAGATGAGAAAGATGAGTGTAGGACTGTTTTACATGAGTTTTAATCACATTATTGATGGTGAAATTGGAGAACCTCAATTAAGGAATATAATAAGACTGTTAATATATATATATATATATGTATATACAAATATAGTTACAACTCACAATGATGGGATCAACATTTTCATAAATGGTTTACAAAGGAACTTTTAAATGAACAGATTATTGAATTATCATAATCTATACAATTCACATAGCTCTATTAAAATACACTCAAATTAGTGCATTATTATTATTATTTTTTTTGATCAGCAAAAAAGAAGTTTTATTGATGGAAAAACATACGTAGTATGTAAAAGTATATCAACAAAGAGAAGGGTGCGAAAAGCATCACAGTAGTACATCAAGACACTACAACAAAATGCACTTTTGGCTACTAAATTTGGCGACTAAAAAAAATTTAGGTGCCAAAACTTGTAGAATTGGCAGCCAAATTTTTTTTAGTCAGCAAAAGTACAATATTTAGCTACTAATTTTTTTTAGTCGGAAAATATTGATTATTGGCGACTAAAAAAAAATTTAGTAGCTAAAAATGGCACAATTGGCGACTAAAAAGTGTTTTAGCACTTTTTAGTCGCTGTATATATAGTTTTGGCTACTAAAATTTTTTAGTCGGCAAATAAAAAACAAAAATTTACTTTTAAACTTTTGGCGAGCAAAGGTTTGGTTGCCAAAAATTTATTTTCAGTGACTAAAAAATATTTTAGTCGCCAAAGAATTAAAATATTTGAGGAAAAATTTCAAATTTTGGAGGGATTTATAAAATTAATTAGCGACCAAAATGTTTAGTCGCCAAATTACTACTTTTAGCGACTAAAATAATATTTAGTCGCTATTAATTAAGGTTTTGACTACTAAAAAAAGTTTAGTCGCCATTGATCAAACTTTGTTCCTTAATTGGACTACTCTGTCAATCCTCTCCCATTTGACTCTCATCATTCCTCTTCTCTCTCTCTCTCCCTCTCTCTCTCTCTTTCTTTCTCGCACTCTATCGCAGGCGACCCTCCTACCAGCCACTGTCCACCACTGTCGCATACGAGCACCTATCTCCTCACCGGCGACGGTACAACCCACATCCCCACCAACGACGGTACCACCCATCTCCCTACCAGCGACAGACAACAGTAGCTACTTTGATTTGTGTCTCCTCCAGCGCATATCAGGTATTTCCGATCTTTTCCTCTCTCTCTCTCTCTCTCTCTCTGTATATATATATATCTTTACCCAATTTCTAGGGTTTCACTCTCTGACCAAAAAAATATCTTTCTTTCTTCTTCACTGGTTTTGTGTAGAGTTATATGCGTAATCGGACACTGATTTTGCCCAGTTCACTATTATCTCTCTTTCTTACACACATTCACTCACTCATATATGTATGTAAGAAAAGTGGCGCTAGTATGTAATTGGTAGAAAGCTTAGGGAAAGCATGTAACTGGTAGAATGCTTGGTGATGCTGCCTCTCTTTGTATCACCGATGCCCTTGTCGGGGTGATTGAGTTATTGGTAATTCTTTTACTTATTTGGTTCAATTTTATTTATTAACATGATTATAGTAGTCCATTTGTAAGCAAATGAGCCCCTTTTTACTTGAATCCATTACCATTTTACAACAATCAATTTATTAAGTTGATATTGATTTTAATGTGTTAATTGCTTTTTTATGTTGTTAAAATTTTGGGTGGTCATTATGGTCTCTTGGGTGGTTAGAGGTGGTAGCATTGGAGTGAAGCGATTGTAATGTTGGTGGTTGTGCTTACTATCAAAGAATAAGATGAATGAGATAGAAAAGGAAAGAGAAAGGGGTTGTGCTTACTGTCATTGGTTGTCTCAAGATTTGGTTAGGATTTTCGAAATGCATTTCTTCTTTCTTATTTTTTCTTTCACATAGATCCTCTTCTAAGAAAGAAAAAAAAACAACCTATAATCCTGTTCTTTCCCCTGCCTATTGCTTAAAGCTAATTGGTTCTTGTTCGGTCTGAAATAGAAATACATCTTATCACTCCATAATAAGTGGCACTCATTTTTTGTACTCCATCGGCTGACAGTTTTATCACCTAATATATCTCCAGGAAGAAGCCTTGTTAAAACTGTTAACTTCTTTTTCTTTCTAGATGTATACTGTCAATATGAATATAAATGGAATGAGCTTACTGATGTCAGTTGTATTGTACACCTTCTACCAATAAATGGTATGTTCTATGCTCTTGATTGTTACAATGCATACAATTGACCTGCTAGATTCTGTCGTAACGCATTGCAATCTGAAAAATAGAGTGTCTATATTGATTGATCACCGCATCATAATTAGTTAGGCCGAGTTTGGCATTTCTAAAAAAATTCAAAAAATCAAAAAGTTACTAAAAAGGTTAAAAAGTTATCACTATTCACAAATTAAAAATATAAAAAAATTAATTTATTATATATTTTAATAGAAAGATGTGACTGGTACTGAGAAGGAGATCGAAAGGTTGTCAAACGGGAAAACAGAAATTAGGTATATATATTTATTAAATTGGAGCGTAATGTTGGGCTAGTGGGGGCCTACCACGGGTCCCGTTTTGATAATCCGAACCGTCAATGTATCAAACTCGTCGAGTAGTATATGCCTATAAAAAATCACGTTAATCGGATATAGATAGCTACATGAGATGGTGTTATAGTTAACGGTTGACAAAAAACTAACACGATCAGATAGCTATCGATATTCGATCAACGTGATTTTTTACAAACATATATTACTCGACGAGTTCTATATATTAAACGGTTTCGATTAGCAAAACGGGACCTGTGGTGGGCCCACACGGGCCAAACAACATCGTTCAATTCAAGCCCAAAAAGGAGACAACCATTTTCCAACTCCTAGCAAGCGGCTACACTGCCTTAGGTACCGTACGGGCTACTCAATCACTTCTCCTATACATGTATTTATATAATTTTTTAATACACATTTTTTCGTAAAAAGTCAAAAAGTTAACCCAAACATCTATCTTTTTTTCCTTAACTTTTTAGTCTAAAAAGACAAAAAGTGCACTTATTTAGGACACCCCAAACAATCCCTTAGTCTGCCTCTAGCATATAAAATAGATATCAAAGTACTTATTTTGAGCCTTTTTTCGTTATCTGTTGATCTTTCTTTAACAAGTTAGATATTCTGAACAATGGCCTTTAAGCAACACAAAAGTCTGCAGTTTATCATTGCCATCGTCTATACCTTGTAGACTTGGCCGTTTTAGTTGATATAAAGGGGTCATGTTAGATGATGGAGTCTGCAATTACATTTATGATGGATGATAATTCATAATTAAGATATGAGTATGTAATCTTTCCATCAAATAAAGGTCTCGTCTAAATGCAGCTAAAGCTAACTGTAATATGATTGGTTTTTGACTAACTGTTTGTTTAATTCATTTAGGTGGCCAAAGAAATGGAGCAAATGGAGATGTAGCCAATGATCGCTACTTGGTATTAGACTTGCATTTCTTTTATAATTAGTCTGTTCATTTAAATTGCATAACAAAGATATGAAAAGAGATCGTCAAATTAATCTACTCATGGGCCAGAGTTCTACCTAGTATATTTTCCCATAATCTGTTATTATTTGGTACTCATAATTTGATTCTCATAATTTGATTGGTTCATGTAACTTGATTAATGACCTTCTTGAGCTTTATGAGGAGGTAGATTTGGAGAAGTCAATCCAACTGGTATCATGTTGTATAAAAAAATCATTGACAATCTTTTGCTCAAAGGTACTATGTGAGCAAAATTTCAATCTACTCAGAGAATTCCTCATGTTGTAAACAAGAATATATTTTAACAGAATAGGGGAAAAATATTAATGCAGGAATTGAGCCATTTGTGATGATAAATCATAATGACTTCCCTCAAGAACTCGAGGACATATATGGGTCTTGGCTCTGTCCTCTTATGAGCTAAATTTTGTGTGAATTTAGGAGGGAGGTTGGTGAATCAGAGCACCAAGAAAAGGGCCAGTGAACCCAAATGTGTTGTTACTGGAAAGAGAATCCAAGGGGTATGTACGCCTCTTGTTTATTTCATAATTGCTCTTGTATTATGCTATGTCATTTTATGATTGTGCATAATTTTCTGATTTTACTACTATGAAGTTAATTGGTCTTGTTGTGTTCCCTTTCCTTAGAATAATATACTTTGGTTTGTATAATTGTAAGTAGTTGATTACCAATGTTTCAATAGTATTCTGTGTCTTTTCTTGTGTTGTTGATTTAAAAAATAAATAAAATTTAATTGAGTTATTCATTAGTTATCAAAATCATTGGGTAGTTTATGGGGATCTATTATTGGATGATCCAAGCATGGGGCATTTAATGGATGATAATCTTTTTTTGTTAATTAAATACATGATAAGTCTGAATTTGTAAATATATATGGGTCCTGGTATCAGCACTGCATTAGCTAACCTTCAGTCTTGAACTACTATGTTACCAACATTTGTAGTGTGGTTTTTACCTCAATTTTTCTATTATGTTTTGAGTTCAATGATTTTTTCTTTTTATAAGAATAATGTTTTCAATACAAACAATGATCCACAAGTGTATGAGATCCCCATTGTATAAGGCACCATTTCTTTGCTTGTATAAGGCACCATTTCTTAGCTTAGTTTTTATTTATAAAGCAAGTTTATAAGAAATCAGTGGATGCTAGCTGCACTTATCCTTAATCGATAACATTCAGATAAGGGAAATGGATATCTTACTATTTTCCATGATGACAGCAAGTTCGAAGTTACTTGGATCTGTAAGAGTTGAGTTTTAATGACTAGGACCTAACATTCCCTTTGCCAACATGCAGAACTGCTGATCTCTCCACTTATGTATCTGAACCTCGCAAGAAAAACTTGTTTTTGCAAAGTTTATACAAAGAGGAGTAGGAAAAATCACATATGACAAATGGTAACAACAGCGGGAAGCATGCTTTTCATAGTGACATTCCAGATAAGGATATAGTTGAAGCTCTAGAAAATGAGGTTCAATATTGGGCAGACTTTTCAAAAGTTCACTATCATCCTCTTTGTATAAACTTAGTTTGTATGGAATATAAACTTTGTATAAACTTTTAATGTCAAAAGTTCACTCTACTTAGTTTGTATGGAATTTGACATTAAAAGTAATTCCTTTTTGGATGGTTAGAAGTGAAATGGATGCAAATTGTGAAATGATTGATAATATATGTATTGTTTTGTTTATACGCATGGTATAGGTTAAACGGAATACATATAGGTTATGAACAAATTAAAAAAAAAATAATATCATGTTTTTAGCCACTAAATAATTGGTAGCCAAAAAGGAAGTAAAAAATTTTAGCAACTAAATAGTTAGTAGCTAAAAAAAATAAAATAAAATAAAAAACTTTTGGCGACTAAAATTTTAGTAGCCAAATAAAAAAAATAGACTTTAGGCGACTAAAACATTTAGTAGCTAAAAAAAATAAGATGAACAAAAAAATCTTTTTGGCTACTAAATAAATTAGTTTTTGTGACTAAATGTTTCAGTCGCTGAAAATGCGATATTAATTTTTTTTGAAAACTTTTGGCGACTAAAAGATTGGTCGCCAATTTAGTCTATTAACGACTAAAGTTTTTTTTGTCACCAATAACTTTACTTTTGGCGACTACTTGTTTAGTCGCAAATTTAGGACTTTCAGTGACTAAAATTTTTTTAGTCGCCAATACCTTCGTCAACTGTTTTTCCTCGACCAAGATGGCGACCAAACTATTTAGTCGGGAAAATCTTTTGGCGACTAAAAATATGACTTTTGGTGACTAAAATTTTAGTTGCCAAAAGTGCAACTTCTTGTAGTAAGAGTTATAACAACAATTTTAAGTAAACAAACTTTTAGGTTTTACAAAATAAGAAAAAATTAGTATATTAAAAAATATAATTTATTACTAAAATTAAAATTACGAAACTTATAAAACGAAATGTATTTATATTTTGTTGTAAATAAAAAAAATTTAATTTATTATTTAAATTTTACCAATTAAATTATGACATGCAGATTTTTATTAAAAACTTAAGAAATACAATTAATGACATTAGAATAAAAATCTTCTCTTAGTGTACCTCTAATAAAAATTAATAAAATTTAATTGATTATAAATCACTTTTACAATATTTTACAAATAAATTTTATATTATTATTTTAATTTAAAAACTAATTTTTAATTATTTATTTATACA